TCAAGCAGGCGACCTGGTGGGTTTCAAGATAATTTCTATAAAATCCAGACCATGCCTCTATTGGAGACCTGCGTTTATTTGTCAAAACGTGTAGCCACAGCAGGCCAGACCTGCGTCTTTTAGGGACCCTGCTCTTATTGGAAGTTTTATGGTAGTGTTTTATTTGGGTTTAGAATATATTTACCCGTTGCGTGTTACCGGACTGTGAGGCAGGTGGGCAGTCCTTAGGTCTGGATCCAACATCGGACAGGAAACTCGCCCAGAGGTCATCTGATTTTTTCTTCTGTTTTGCATCATCCTCCCTCTCTACCTTGGGGGATTCTTCCACCACTTCCTGCAGCAGCTGTGCCTCTTCCACTCCACCTCCACACTTCTCTTCCTGTTCCACTTTCAGGACTCCTTTCTTCCTCTTTCTGTAGATGTTTTCAAAGATATCGTGAATAAAGGTCAGCATCATCCTCTTTTATTAGGAAAAGTGCCACACCCCATTTTTACCTTGTATTAAAATGTGAACTGTATCTGTATTTGAATCGTTTACGAGCATTAACGACAGAAACTCTCCACAGCCTCAGAGAACAGTGGAAATCCAGATTTTGCTTGATTTCGTCTCTGTCCTAGACAAAATATTGTTTGAAGCCCTCTCACCTCACACCGATGTCCAACTTCTTTCTCTTCTTCTTGCAGACATTGCCAGGATGTGGCACATCTTCATCCCCGTGCAGAGGGTCTTCCTTCTCACACTCATTGATGTCATCCTCACTGAGGTTATCATCTGAGGAGGATGTGAATACAGAGAGATCAACTGATTAACAGATTATTTTATATTATAGTTGATGTATAATGAATACGAGCAGAATCATATTATGATGTTATGATCTAATCATTATTGTTCTACAAATAAGTAAAAAATAAGTATATTTACTTTCAACATCAGTTGGATTCCTTGAGATTTTGTATAGATGTACCATACACTGATATACTACATCATAAGAGGAAAATATCTATTATACATTTTTGATACCTGTACTATGCAGTTTTACATCCATATAAAAACCTGTACTGTATATTTATAGCCCTATGTCTATGGCCTATATCGCGTCTAAACGTGCAATTCTTTATTTTTACACCATGCCACTACCTCCTGCTGTGACCTGTGCATGTGATTCCAGTGGATCGGACGATTTGGAAGCAGTTCTCAATATCAATCCTTAACTGGACTACGTTCTATCCAGAGGTGTTACTAATATAATATATAATGTTCTGTCCCCATCATGTGTGTAAATAAATGGATAAACATCTCTCAAATCAATGTAGTCCAGTACAGCACCAGCTGTTACTATGACATCAATAGTAAACACATCATTGAATTCACACATTTCTGACATTAAAAAAAAGTGCATTATACATTTTGAATTAGAAGTCAGAGCTGTTTATCAGTGTATATACAATAACTAAACAATCATACATTGCCAGTGCGTATATGGAGTTTATTAGACTGCCTTCAAGTTAAGTGCTATGGGGCAGATCTAGAGAAATATTAATGGGGTGTCCAGAGTGTGCTAGAAATAATATCTGCTGACTTAATCACAATCACATATATCAATATTTGATTGGGAAAGCCGCCAGTTTAGATATTTGAACTAAAAAAACATTATTGTGGCACAGTGAAGCATTGACTAGAAATATCTAAAGGTGGCATTAGAAATCAATATATTGTTGTACACATTACAATGTCTTTCTTCATTGAAATTGACGCGGTCTCTCAACAGCAACTAGCCCAGGACGTCGCGTTAGGCGGTTACCATAAAGTATTTTTGTATTATTACTATTATTATGTATGTATGTATTTTAAAGTATTTTACACTATAGCTAGTTCATCACGTCTGCGTAGCATTTGTGGCTGAGCTAGTTGATGTTAGCTTCCGCTTGTTTCCCAGCAGAAACCGTTCCCAGTCCTCACCTGACGGGACGTAGTCCGCGTCTTCATTCGACGAATATCCGTCAGAGTCGTAGTCAGAGTAGTTCATCATTTGGAGGAAAAGCTTCACACTAATAATAGTGAAATGAAAACGCTAACGTTAGTTACTAGGTTTCCCACTAGCTACCTCTTTACTGCTTCCACAACGTAAGGAACGTAACGTTAAGCCTAACTGGCTATAGACGGCGCCATGTTAAAACAAAGCTCAAATGTAGCTTTCAGTTGTGTAGGGGATACAAATGAATTCAGTGTGTATTCAAATGAAACTGCTTCTATTGTTAGCCTTTCTGGAAATGAGGAAAACAATGTGACTTTCTGGCGGCGACGGTAAGCGCAAAGGTTCAAACATGGTGCGCGCCGCGGATCTGGTCTTCTTTTAAAGCGACGACCAAGTAAGCTGCACTAGCGCCCCCTACAGCACCGGAGGTACCCGCAGAAGGCATTTATTTTTCAGATAACAGACCGGAATAAAACAGTTATAGTACGGTGAGTAAAATGGTAAAATCAAAGAGGGAAAATAAAAGTAAATAAATGAAGGAGAAAATGACACTTAAAACATTTGGAATAAGGAGAAGGACAAGGGGCTTCTAGTCAAAGCGGCAGTAGGTAACTTTCATAAAAAGTAACTTTTTGTCAGTAGTAGATGAGACAGATAATCTGTCCGGCCCATTGTAACCCTCCTAATGGCATTTACAAGAATCCACGTGGCCTGAATGAAAGCAGTCAATCAGAGCAGAGATAGATATAAAGATACGGGCTGGAAGCTTAAAGATAGTTGATGGTTGAGTCACATTTCCAAGGTCCCAAATGGTCACTAGTTGACAACCTGGGAATCAACAAAACTATATTTCTCGGCTCTGATTGGTTGTTACGGTCTTTCTTTTCATATCGGTATTGTCTCATTTTACCATCTCTATTTTTATCTTTATTATGTTTGTAATTGTTATGCACCAACATACCAAGGTAAATTCATTGTTGTGAAAACCTACTTGGCAATAAACCTGATTCTGAGTCTGTTTGGTAAAGGAATGTTTTGTGACCAGCAGAGGGTGCTGTTTGGTTACATTAGCTCTGAGCCGGAGACCTTGGTGGAGCATCTGGAAATACAACAGACATATTTGCTTTAGTGGATATTATCTGTTTAAACTTTGTCAAGCATAGATTTATCTTATTTTCCTTGGTTTCCTATTATTAAGTAAACTCACAACCCCTGACTGATTTTATTGATATTTCATATTATATTTAATGTATAACAATAACAGCAGAGAACAGCAGATAAACTGTCAATGAACCCAAACAGTGAGCACAGTAACTGCAGGAAGTTTGTGTAAGTATTTTAATGTATTTTTTGGGATTTATTGCCTTTATGATAGTGACAGCTGAAGATGGACAGGAAAGGGGGGCAGAGAGAGGGGGGCAGAGAGAGGGGATGACACGCAGCAAAAGGCAGGTTGGATTGGGCCCCTGCAGCAAGTGCTCAGCTTTGGTACATGGGACGCCAGCGCTACCAGATGAGCTATCCGGGCGCCCCACAATAAGAGATTCGGATGCATTTTGAGAAGATTTATTCCTGTGACAATATTGATCAGACAGAAGTTTACCTGATATTTTTAGGAATGGTCTGCAATGTGGATTTTTTATTTTTACTAATCATACATGCTTAATAGGCTTATTTTTTGACAAATTTAGTGTTTTCTTCTTATTGTTCTATCAGCTCTTTAGGTGTTTTAACTTTTCTAATGCAGGACGAGGCTGTTTATCAGAGAGTGAAAGCTCTGTTAATATAGCTTGTGATACTAATTTTATTTAGTTTTCTTCACAGAACTGGAGGAAATGCAAAGCTATTGGCCTGCTGTTTTTTTTTTTGTATAAAAGTTTTCTTACACCCCTTTAACAGGGTCTTGCAACTCCATGTAAAGCTTGGGCGAACCCTAGAGGGGGTACCAACCCCCAGTTTGGGAACCACTGCTGTAGGAGACTAAGATTTAGAATATGACCTCACTACATCTGGAAGATATTACCTGTGAAGGACAGCAGATGTCCTGCAGACAGACACACACATTGTAACAGACTCATACTGTGTCAGTAATATTCATGTTTCCTCTTTATTCCATTCAGTCATTGTGGCCTGCTACACTTAAATCTTCATCCACACGGTAATACCCTGTGCTTAATGTTGCCTTATGTATCATTATTTGTCTAATACTAGTATGTAGTACATGTGACTGTGTTGTAATCTAAATAGTTGTAGGCCTTCACTAAGAATGGGGAATCGTTAAAAATTCTAGAGGGCTGTTATTACCAAAACCTATTGAATACATATTTAATCCAATTCAATTTGAAATTTTATTTGTATAGCGCCAATTCATAACAGAAGTTATCTCAGGACACTCTTCAAATAGAGCAGGTCTAGACCGAACTCCTTATAACATTTAGCAGAAGGACCCTAAACCAACCGTGTCCACCCATGAGCAAGCACTTGGCGACAGGGGCAAAGGAAAAACCTAGGAACAGAACCCTTCGCCTCCTAGGCTGGGTGGTCATCCTTCCTCGACCAGTTGGGGTGAGAGAAGAGAGAGAGAGACAGGGGAGACAGACAGACAGAGGTGCACAGAAACAAAAGTAGCAACAATTACACTAAAATAGTAGTGACTGGTGATGATGAAACATGAAGAAGATGATGGTGACGACAACAACGATGGGGAACAATGAGCAAGTGATTATAGTAATAATAGTAACTGGAGTAATAACAATAACAATAGTAATAATAATGGTTCAGGGACCTCACCTGATCCAGCCCTAAAACTATAAGCCTTTATCAAAGAGGCAACGTCTTTAAGCTACTCTTAAATGTGGGAGGAGGGTGTCTGCGCTCCAGAACAACAACTGGAAGCTGGTTCAAAGGAAAGGAGGGCTTGGTAACTGAAGGTTCTGGGCTCCTGTTCTAACTTTTAGAGACCTTAAGTACACTTAATTAAATCAGAATCAGAAATACTTTATTGATCTACGGAGGAAAATGTTTTGTTACAGGTTGCTCAAGGTACTCACACAACATTAAAAAATAGAAAAATAAATAATAATAGAAATAAAATAATAATGATATGGAATGTTAAAGTATGTATTATTACAATATCTAACTAAAATGTATATTATGGACAATAGAAAAAATTGAAAAATATATAACATACAAATATTATAAGTAAGTAAAGCGTAACTAATGTACATTATAATATAATATAGACGATATATAGAGTATATGTATGGCTACAGTATATGACATACAGAAAGTGTAATAAATTAAATAAATAGTACAGATAATACCAGTATAATTTTACTGGTAGACCAGTTAACTTAACATTTACCTGCTGGAGTTGTCATTCCTTCTTTTTTACTGATTGCAGGGTTTATTGGGAGAACCACTCCATGTTAATCGCAGTGAAGTTGAATTACACACACTAAAAAAGCCAAAGGTTTTTGTGTTAAAAACAAAAACAGCAACAACAAACACAAACAAAACAGTGGGTGCATCAAATCTTTTCTGAGTTATGGCGAACTTCTATGAAATTTATGTTGATTGGGGAAATTAAAAAAAAGCCTTTTCCGCACAATTAAAAAATTTGAATTTACCCAACTTACCTAATAATTTTGAGTAGTAAAAAACACAAAGTTTGTTGATTAGGGCTACTATAGAAATTAAACTTGTTCCCCAAACAAACAAATTTTTCCCAAATTATTTATTGTCAACACAAAACTCATTGAAATAATGTTAGCAAAAATTAAAAGGTTTATCTAAAAACCAATAAAATAGAAGTAATTATCTTGCAAACATTAACATTTATTTAAATGGTATCAGTGGTCCACTTTTGTATTGAAACTGCATTTATTACAAGTTTTTCCTTTAATAGTAACATTACTTTGTTGGCAAACAAAAACCCCTAAGTAACCAGTTTTAAAAGTGGTAGTGAATTTAATTTTCTTTTCAGAAAAAATATCAATCTTCCCTCCAACCAAATTAAGCCCTATTAAAAGGGATTACTTAGTAAAATTAACAGCGTGCATTGTAATTCGTTACCCCGCCACAAAACCAAACGACATTTTCAAATTTGGGCTTCTTGGAGATAAAATAGACCAGAGGCTGGAAAGATTTCTGCAAATTCATTCCAACAGTCTGGGTAAACCCCCTTTGAAGTGTTCTACTACGTAAATTGATTCTAACCACAACCAAAGCCTAACCAAATTATCATCGCATCCCTGGAGATTCAACCCATCAAACTGGACTCCACACGCCAGACTTTCACCAGTCTGTAAGCTGCCCCACCAGGAAGAACAGGACATTAGACCTCTGTATGCCAACGTGATGGAAGCTTACACTGTCCTTCTGCCCCCACTGGGAAAGTCTACATAACCTGGTCCTGCTAACGCCACAGTAACAAACACAGATCCAGAGACAGTCCACAACCAAAAGCTCCTTCAGGAAATGGTCTCCTGAGGCGGGAGGCTCTGAGGACTGCTTTGATGTATGACTGGAGCGTCCTGCAGGAAGCACATGGTGGGACATTGAGGGGTCACACACTGCACTACTGACTACCTGAACTTCTGTATGGACGTTGTGTCCCATCAGAACTGTACACAACAACCCTGGATCACCAGTAATGTCAAGGTCCACCTGACAGAGGCGAAGGAGGACTACAGAAGAAGGTAGAACAGAAGCTGCAGCAACAACAACATGAGGGAGGTCTGGGATGCATGAAAACCATCACAGGCTGCATAAGAAGGGCAAAATCACAGGAGAGGGGATGCTGGAAGAGTTCCGGGTTGTTTTTGCTGTTTTTTTCAGGTTTGATACTCCAGCTCCCCAACCAGCAACAGCCCACTTCACACCCCCACCATGTCCACCACTCCCAATTCCACCACCTCAGACTGCAGACCCCCCCACCTCACAACTCATGGACGTTCACCCTCCCCACCACCATCCACCAAGGATCGGGTGAGCAGAGAGCCGGAGGCTTCGTACAAGAAAAGCAGCGCCCCTGAGTGTGTCCAAGGATGCTTAAAGCCTGTTCTGCTGAACTGGGGGAGCCACTCCAGCATGTTTTTCTACCTGGCCTGCAGGAGGGTCCCGTGCTCTGGAAGATTCATGTCTCATCCCGGTTCCTAAGAAAAAACACTCCAGGAGCTGGGTGACTTCAGCCAGTAGCACTGACATCACACATAATGAAGACGTTCGAACGGCTGCTGCTCTGTCTCAGACCCAGATCCACCATGCAAAGATCCACTGCAGTTTGGATCCAGGAGAAGTGGGCGTGGAGGATGCCATCCTCTACTGCTCCATAGGGCCTACTC